GCTTGATATGTCTTGAATTTTTCCCTGAGAGATCAGTGGAAATATCATAAATAACCATCAGGCAACGTTAAAGCTGTTTGAAAATGAAAAAGGAAAAGTTTTTCCTGCACAATGCTGCATGATGTATTCATTCTGCTGTAGAAATTAATGTTTTTGTTTGTTTGCCTCGGCCCATCTCAGATTTCCTCGCCTTGCCAAGGGGACTTTTCCGTCTGTGTCTTCTTCGTGTGGCACCTGAGATATTTGTTTTCTTCCAGTTTCTTGTCTGTCGTAAATTAAAGATTCATCAACACGTTCCCTCACTTGCAAATTTACCATCTGTATCCTCACATGGGCTCATTTGGAAATTTCCAAAACATTTTACTAAGAGTCTGACAGGTAAAGTTCCAGAAAACGTCCGTGGCAACTGACTCTGGAAAATGTCTCAGCAGAAATTCAACTGGTTCTTTCTTCGTTTATACCTCCACCAAGTTTCAAGAAGAACAGTCACACACACACAAACTGCAATGAAAACTGAGGAAACTGAGCATTGCACACAAAATATCTGTTATGTTGGTGTTTTGTGTGAAATAAGAATTATGTTGACTAAATGCTAAATGTCAGCGTGCAGCAGCAAACACATCACCTGATTCCCAGGTTGAGGAAAAAACAAGCGACAGATTGTGGCTTCACAAACAAATCACATCTAAGATATTGTTGGCAAGAGCTATTTTTAGAACAAATCACAAGATCACAGAGAACACAAGTCCCTCTCTCTCTCTCTCACACACACACACACATGGCACACTAATTAAAACAGCAGAACCTTGAAGTCCCTCAGAGAAACGAGTGTCTAACTTTAATTTGTTTCATCCCAGGAGATAAGTAAACACTCCCCTCGTTCAGAGCTGGGATAAAAACACAAACCCTTCAAAGCTCATCTACCCTCTGATCCAGTGCCATTATTGTTCACATTGAAATGAAGATTTAAAATTTTCACAATATGTGGCTTGTCTTTATCCTTTTCTACCTCTCATCAAACTGGATTTAACTTCCCCCGGCAGTTCCACCTCTCAACCAGGGGTGGGAGCAGTTTGCTGCGGAAACAGGAAAGTTTGGTGCAGAGAGGATGAGATGCTGTGTCAGGATTCAGGGAGACGTTGAGTTCATGTCTGTGGAGGAGACGTCACAGAGGCATCTCACTGACGTCAAGACGAGGGCTCAACTGAAAATCAGAAGATTTAAAAAAGACGCGTGGGTCATACAGATGGAAACCATTAAGAATTCTACCATCGAAACGAAAGTGCTGTCGTTGCTGGACGTCTATATTTCAGTTTGTATCTTTCAAATGTGACGTTTTTCATTTCACTCGACTGCTGCTTCTGTCAGGAGAGAGGATGACACACACACACACACAGAGGGAAACTAAGTCGCCACTATCTCCTCTGACTAATGACGTGGAAACAGAATTATCACAGACGTCAACTTGCAAGTTCCAGAGGCTGAAGAAGGACGTCGCACCACAGGCCTGACATCTGACTGGTCACTTCTATAACCGTGATTAACAGTCTGCTCTTTTTAAAGGTTTCTGAAAAGTGATGGACTTATTCAGATTTCATGAACATATATATATATTTTTCAAATGTTTTTTATTTGAGTAAAAATTACAAACCCTTATGAACTTATTTACAATTAGTTTGATATTGACCTGGTGTTGTTTAGTGTCGGCAGTTTGTGAATAATTGTGAGACTGAAAGGGTTAAAAATGGATAAATCTACATTTCTTTGCAGGTCATTTCGAGCCAGTTTGTCTTTATGCTAAGCTAACTGTCTCCCGGCTCTAGATTCATATTGACCGTTCAGACAATAGAGTGGTATGATCAAGTTGAGGTAACATAAGTCAAGGAGGGCACACAAGGCTAACGCTCTTTCCTGTTAGTGGACAAAGAAAAGTCTGGTATTGGCCTGTTAATCCTGCCCTGCCCCCGACATGGATTGGATTCCTGCATCCTGCATGTTGTTTTCGATTAATATGGCAGTTGATACTGAACATGCCACCGCTGTTAAGAGCTGTGATGCTTCTTTCATTAAAAACAGAAATAACAACATTTAAATCGCCACTGAAATGTCACGTAACTCCGTCTGTGACTATAAATATCTGGACATGTTTTTTCCTCTAATCACCGGACCACCCGTTCTCCTCCTTTTGTCCGCCCTGCACTGCTCTCCCTCTATCTGTGATCATGAATACGTATAGTTCTGGCCAGGAAGCAGTGCCGCGATAAGAGCAGAGAGACGTTGAATAATCTGGGGTCGGCTGAGGGAAGACTGGCTGTGGGTGGTTCTCATGCACGAGTCATGGATCAGTGCACTGCTCTTTACTCCGGAGAGAGAGAGAGAGCAATGCATGGCACAAACAAGAGAGAGTGTGTGTGTGTGTGCATGTGTGTGTGTGTGTGTGTGTGTGTGTGTGTGTGTGCGTGCCCCTGACTGCAGGGATGGTGATAAGATAATATTGAGCTGTCAGGGATCAGCAGACAGTCTCTTCTGTTTATGTGCTGTGTGAATGATGATGGACCGTTTTAACAATTTGTCCTCAGTCATTATTCACTGACGGTTCTCAGTCAATGCAGCGATAATGAATTTAATTATTTACAGATCATTTTGACAATTTGCAAGAAAATAATAATTAAGGGTCCGTTCCGCTTGTTTCTTTTATTTTGATCATTTAAAGGAGACTTGTTGTTATATCACTTCTTCGTCTTTCCTCTGTAGTCTGTTGTATAGATTATCTGTTTAAAGAATTTCTTTAAAATTAAAAAGTCAAAAGTCTGCATCATCGTGACGTCACGATGATGCAGCACACATCCGGCAGCTCGTCTAACACGCCCCTAAACGAAGCCCGGTAAAGCGAGAGCAGAGGCCGACGCACGCCGGAAGCAGTTGACCAATCACATCAGCGTGTTCAGGCTGGCCAATCAGAGCAGACTGGGCCTTAAAGAGACAGGAGCTGAAACCAGAGGCTGAAGAGAGGAGCTGCAGCAATGGACATTTCTGAGCAGTAGAACTTAAAAATCTTTTCAAGTTAAAAGTATGAACCTGAGTGTGGGCAGAATATTCTCCTTTAAACCAATGAATCAATGTGGCAAATGTTAGTGTCTTGGATGGTTCAGCTTTTTGGTCCAGACTTCCCTGAGAGCAAACACTCATCGCGCCATGTGGTGGATAAATTCAAACACCTAATAAAGTGATCCCCTGACTGTCTGTGTAGCGCCACCATCATGTCAAAACTTCAATTTGCTCTTTCTTTGATTTATGACTTGCAAGTTAGAGCCTGGACACACATGATCAAATGTGACGACCAGGTTTAACTTGAAGCCACGCTGTGATTCGCCTCGTCACAGGAAGCAAATGTTTTATTTTCCCCCTCACTGTCACTGAAACAGCCTCAGCTACACTTCCTATAAAAAAATAAGCTAAATGATGCTTTGGGTTAATGAACAACTATTTAGCCCTTGTTCATTATTTGTTTTTGTCTTTCTGACAATAGAAATGTACAAATATCACTTGATGTATATTTATTTTCAAGATAAATGTCCTCCAGTCTCTTTAATAGGAGCTGTAGGACTTATTTATTATATGGGTCCAGCTTCAGAGGAGCAGGTTGAGCTCCACTTGATGGATGTGCCTCGGCTGCACCTCCATCTCCTCTGCCGTCTGATGGGAGGTGCATGGATGCCAGGGAGCGCAGGGGTACACCAACAATACAATGAGAGTTCTGGTAATGGCTCTGTGACACGGGGGGGATTTTTTTGGCAGAGATCTTGGTAAGAAAGCAGTTTGAGGGATGTCGTGCCCGCGCTCTACGTTCGTAATGTCAAAAGTGCTCTCCAGAGGGATGATCGGCTCATAGTGATGCATGTTTTATATATTTCCTGCGTTTTGACATATTTGTTTCATAAAAGACAGGTTCATTTCGAGGGCAGGCACGTACCAACCCTCAGCATCAATGTGACTTCAGAGACAGATCAGCATTCTACTCTCACACCAGTTTTCATTCCATTTTCATAATATTTCATCATTGTCTTTTCCATCTCTGGATGCAGCCTCTGGGAGCTTTAAGCCGTACCTACCATTCTTGTATCCGTATTAAGGGCTGGTAATATTGAGGACTTTTGTAGCTGTGAATAAAGCAACTTTTCTTTTAATACATTTTGATCTCCCACAGGCAGGCCCACATTTTCATAGCAGATGTTCAATGTCTTGTCCTCCAGCAACTGATATGACTTGTCCTCCACTTGACCTCCAGTACTTTGGTTCCATTTCCACCCACGTGATCCAACGTGGCCCCGCGGAGCACAGCCGTGACAGTGCCGAGGGGTTAATGGGTTCATTTCTCACTGTGAACATAACTAGAACATCTGATCTGAGATGCATTAACCCTAAAAATAAAAGTTTAATGGATGACATGATAGCTCCTGAAAAGTGAAGCCAAAGCATCTCATTTGTGGTATAGGCCATAAACCCAGCCTCCTCCGTGTTAGTTGATGGGACATGGGCCAAACTAATAGGTCAAAATACACGTCCATTAAATGTTTCGTAAAAATGATTAGTTCCTATCACACCTGTGTTTGTTAATTAATTTATTTTGTTAAATTTCTAGTGGGAGGAAGTGGAGATGACAGACTATGATAAAGCTAAATTAAAGCATTCGGGAACAAAATCAGTAAAGGAACAATTGGCAATGAAGAGTTACAGCAAGTCAGAGATTCTACCAGAACCCATTTCTTTACTCATTGTGTCTGGTGTTTTATTGTGCAATGAAATGTATTTTGCTGTATATATTTTTTTTATCTTCTGGGGACAAAACAAAAGTGAGATCATTTCTGTCCCTTTTATCTGACTCTGATCTTTTCAAATTTGATTCCAAAACATAAACTTGAACTGAACTTTTTTTTAATGACATTCTTTTTTCTGTAACCGCTCTGAAGCTGCACCTACAATTCACTGAGGCAGAATGTGACTCAAGTTGAAAGAAGGCTGATTATTTTCAGATACATATTCTAGTGAATCATTTAAGCCTCGCTCACATTTTGTAAACAAGTTTTATTATGAAAGCAATACAGTACGTTTAAAATACAAAGCATAGACGATACAAAATGATCAGTGCTCTCACTATTACAATACAGTGTCAGATACAGCCCAGCAAGAGGAAGTGTAGAGACGCTGCTGGCACGTCCAGCTCATTACTTCTTATCTTTATCTTCCAGTGAGCGGCTCACTCTTCACATTGTTTTACTGCCGTGTGAGTTCATACCGCTCACAGGACATGAGGTCCCTCCCTCACAGCTCAGTCCATTTCCTGTTCTCATTTGACCTCAGAGTAAGAGAAGTGAGGCCATGGGTCTTTTTTCTTTCAGATGGTTTCTTCCAGACGCTCATGCAGACTGTCTCCTCTGTTGTTGAGCCGGTGTCTCCTGGAAAAGAAACCGGGTGAAATCTCAGCTCACACAGCGGTGACAAACCGTTGAACAACCGTGTGCGTGTAGTGTTGTCAGCAGATGCGGCCTGGCTCGCAGGCCCAGAGTGGGTGTCATGTTTTTAAAAGCAGCTGCTACGAGACTCTTATTTTCCCCTCAGTGTTTGGCTTTATGATCAGAGCGTAGCCTGAAATCAGATTTCTGTCTGTGCCTGTCGCTGTATGTGCATTACCGTACCGCCACAGCAGAAATGCCAGCGCTCCTCCAAACAGCAGCAGGAGAATGAAACACACGACAGCCGCCGTCGTCCCTCTGCCTTCCGTCTCACAAGGTCCTGTCGAGTGGAAAGAAGAAGAAGGTGAGATGTGGGGAAAAATAAAAACACATGTCATCTGACGGGGCTTCTGGAAAAGGCCAGAGAGGTCCACTGCAACAAGTCTGTACTGTCACCAAACAGACTGGAGCTAACAGGAGGCATCCTGAAACACCCCGACTGTCTTTGGATCATCACGCCTCTTGGCAGATAGGAATTGCATTAGCCTCGCCTCTTTAACAGCAGTAGCGGTAGTGTGGCGGTCGTGATTTATTGATCACACTGAGGAAAATCCTTTATCACTGAAACCCCAACACTCAGAACAGAGCGCAATCAGGACACGGATCAGACACGGAGCAACATTATCATTCATTTGGAGTTGGGCGCCTGCCACCCAGTGAACGGAAGTCCAGTCGTCTCCCGAGGGAAATATCTCTGCTCAGTATGGCTGCAAAACTCTTCACTAATTCACCAGCTTGGCTTTAACTTCGTCTGTATCTGCAGACAGACACAGACGGAGTTATCAGCTTCTCACTGAGTCTGGAAGGTGCATTGATGAGAGTGAACCAAAACAATGAGCTGAAAGATGCTAAAACGACTAATTTCTAATGTTAATATTACTTTTTGCAGCTTTAAGCAAGATTTAGAATACATTTTACAAATGTACCTCTGCAAACTAAAATATTACTAGTTCTATAAAGAGGGATGGACAAACACATCATACACAGTACATAAAGATGGACGACACTTCTCCACTTCCTCTCAGGACCCAGAAATGAAGCCGAAATAGCTCCGATACGAACGCCACCATCTTGCACATTTGAGTCTGAACATTAGCGATCTGATGGATGGAGCCACAGTTCCAAGGTGCTGCCGGGAGCGAGTGGCTCGACTGATGGCGAGTCATTCTCAGCTGTTAATTATGACGATTCACTCCGTTTTTACAGCATCAAATAACTACTTAAAACACTTGGGCAGACATTAGCATGATATGCATCTAACTTGTACTTTTGACTTTCTAGTTTGGTCCAAGTCCCATCCACTAACATTAAGGAGGCGAGATTTACAGTATGACCAATACTGCAGCAACCACCAGGGGGCGGTTGAGGCACTGACTTTACTTTTTATGGAGCTGTTCGTCGTCCATCTTTACACACAGTGTATTTTAAAGCAGGTACCTGCAGTGTAGGTGGCGGAACTGTAGCCCAGCTTGTTGCTAACCATACAGGTGAAGTGGCCACAAATGGGGGTCATGGTCACCAACAACAACGATCCATCTTCCGAGACTTTTCCGACTGTCCTGCTAATGGCGACTCTCTCGTGGAGCCAGCTGAAGTGCGGGTCCGTCCCCCAGGCCTCGCCGCACACCAGCGAGGAGTGAGACATGTTGATGCTGACGGAGACGTGGTTCACGGCCTCTGAAAAAGGCAAGTAGATAAAGATAAGAATGGAAACAGGTGACAGAAATGGAGGTAATAATCTACAGTTGGACAGAAGCAATGGGACTCGTGAGGTGTTCGGCTGTGGGCACCAGCAGACACAAAAGAATCATGAGAGGTTTATTCCTGTCAGGAGAAACTGGCTCTGTTTCAGAGACCGTAATGAGAGCCGAGAGTGAAGCAATAATGTCGGGGATCGGGATGATAGAAAACCCTGGAAGCTGAGAGAGCAGATGTGGAGAAGAGTGGAGCTGATGAATTTAAACCGTTTGTGCAGACAGAACGAGAGCGAGAGCAAAGACGCTTTGACGGGAAAAACCAGAAGGGGCAAAATAATCTCAGAGCACGGAGACGGAAAGAGAAACCCACAAAGCAAGTCCTGAAGGCAAATTTAATTTCAAGTGTTTCATTATTGAAATGAGACATCTGCCAGCGGAGAGAAACGAAGCCCGCTGGTGTGAAATTAAAGCACATTCATAATACCATTGATAATTGTTAATTTAACTCCAGGTCAGCTGATGAGTATTTGAAATATCTTTCATATCATTTCTCTGAAATGTAAAATGTGTATATGAGACAAACTAAACACTGCAGAAAAACAGTATTCACATTCACATGTCCTTTCACCAACACTCACTGACCTCTCTAACCATCAGACATCCACTTTACAAGATCAGATTGTGGAGGAGAGAATCGTCTAACAGCCCTTAAAACGAATTATTTCTTATCCTTGCAAGAAATCATTTTTTCAATTATTCAATTTAATGTCTGAAAAGAATTAAAAAAAAAAAAAAACAACCCAGATTTGTTGGTGCCCATGTTGCTGTTTTTCAACTGCTTTATTTTGTCTGAGAAAATATATAAAAACCTAAAGGGACTTAAAAGGATTTCCACTTGCAAGGTCAAAATGCCTGTTAAAACCTCGGCTGTGAAGTGAACATGAACAAAAAAAAGGTCCTTGCAGAACTTGAAGAAAATGTAAATGTGAACATCTACAATTCCAATACAACTGGGAAAAGTCCGAGGCTCGGAGAGAGGAATGCAAATGATTTCCTTTCTATTCCTCCGGGAAAGTTCAGTAGTTTCTGTGAAATCCCTGTGAAAACCCTACGATTCAAAGCCTGCCTCACAGCCCGCTGACTTTAGCATGGATCTGAATTTAAACCTGAGCTTTTTGAAAGAGGGAAAATAATCTTCCCTTAAAACAGATGATTTATTAAAAGCTTCAAAGTATTAAATTAACTTTGAGGGGAGATTAGTTTAGTCAAAAGGAAATTTTGAAATGATCAGAGAAAACAAACTAATCCTCAACATGGAAAATCCAAATTCTCCAAATGAGCAGGAACAGGAAGTAAAATTAAGTCCGGCTGTAATCAACCTTCCTTGGACCAGGATCAGTCGACAATGTAAAAGTGACTGTTGGCTGCACATAATATCCAAACGAGACATATTGTGCTCATATTTAGGTTTAAAATTGGAAAAAATTTGGATTCTTACTCGAGAAGGTTTAAAACTCTAATGTTCAGAAAACACAACACCTTCTTCAGAATGTCCACTGCTGCTGCTCCTCTTTTCAGCCTCTGTCTGAAACACCTGACTGTAGCCCAGTCTGCTCTGATTGGCCAGCTGGCCCCGCCCTGTTGTGATTGGTCAATCGCTTCCAGTGTGTGTAGGAAATGTCGGCCAGGAGTTATAGCTTCACGTGCATTATGCAAATACAACATCACCCTTTCCCTCTGAATTTGAGCTTTTTAACCCTGCGGACCTTTAGAGAACAAAGAAACACAGATATAATATATATATATATAATATAACTCACCAGAAACTAAAATCGCTTCGTGAGTGTCCTTTATAAATTCCTTCACATGCATCATACTGTACCATATTCCCTGACGATGCAGTGAGCGGTGGTCTTGGCTCCCGTGTGATCCGTCACAGTCACAGCGTACACGCCGCCGTCCGCTCTGCTGTATCCATTAATCTGAAGTGTCGTCTCCTGCTGCTCCACGTTCACACGGACGTTTGGCCTCGTACCAGAGCACTCGGAGCTTTCGCCAGGGCATGATGCCAGTGTCGCTCTAGTGGGAGCAATTCCAGTTTCATCCTCCCGTTCCCAGGTTACCATGGAGACCTTTTCCAGGGGCCCCTGCTCGATGCGGGCTTTCAGAACCAGACTGGAGCCGGGGATGACGTGCAGCGGCTCCTTGTTGAGGATGTGCACCGACACACACTGGTGCCCGCATGGCACTGAGGACAGAGAGTGGACGGTTTGTTAGTTCATGCTCATCAGCATCTGGTACGTGTTTTCTTTCCATGACCTGAAGTCTTTCATATTCATCAGCTCGGACCTTTGGGCTCCTGGATGTTTTGCACTATTTGGGCCGAGCTGGAAGCTAATAAAACAAACAGCAGCATAATAATTCATCTCTGTCCTCGTGTGCTTTATGAATATGTACGGCTGCTTTCTGTCAAACAGTGTCAAGCCATGATTTATAGTGCACGACCGACCGTGCCTAATGTGGTATCCATCAAACCACGTCAATATCCCTAAAATCACAGTCAGATCTGCAGGAGGATTAATCATGTGTCTTAACCTGATCGGCAAAGCATGAAGGAGAAGTGAGTAATGCACGTGTGGACATCAATGAAAAAAAAGTCTTACAGTTGTTGTTTTACATTCGTTTCAGGCTGAAACATCGGGAGATTTTTTCTGTTGTCAGTAAAGCATGACTTCATATTTACATGCGTCTTTAAACAGAAGAAACCATTTGTTTTGTTCGATGTGATCATCACTCCTGTTCATACACTCGATTTTAAAAGATCAGTTATTGTCATGAGTCTCGACTCATTGTGATGTCACTCATTGGTCTGTGATGTCACTCATTGGTCTGTGATGTCACTCATTGGTCTGTGAGCTGTTTTTTAAAGCCTTGGCCTTTTGTCCAGCGCCATCTTGGATTTTTGAAACCATAAGCTACTGTATTTGGAGAAGCGAGGGGTGGGGCTTGACTGAGAGCTCGAACTGAAACCTCTGCACCCATTGGGCGCTACTAGCCGTCAATCTAAACACACCCACGTCATCTATTCGACTTCCAGTGGGGCGGTACTTTACAAAATGAACATCATGCTGTAGAAGAAGACTTGAAACTAGAGATCGAGACAAAATGTTTACTGACATTATTAATTATTTGATGAGCAGAGACATTTTCTCATTGACGTTACAAATGTGAACAGAATCTATATCCTACGTGACCTACTTTCAAATATTACTAACAAATAATACCCCCGAATATCTCAAATTCATTCTCTTTCCAAAAAAAAATCTTAACAAATGATCATATCTATGCGTGTGTTGTTAGTGACTTGTTGATAATAACCATGATGATGAAGGTTGGGTTTGTCTGCCACTAAGCTCCTATGGGTTTATTTTTCTGTTCGATGACCTTTTGGCAGAAGAACAGAGACAAATCAATCAGGATCTTCTGGAGGTTGAAGAATAAAAGTCTCTGTGGTGTTTGTCCGGTGCCGACAGTGTCTCCTTGTTGAGCTGCAGTGGAAAGACACCGACACAAAGAAAGACTTTTTCTACTAAAAGGCTGAAACTTAAGAAGATTTCTCCCAGACTACTGCAGCCCTTCATTATCTCCAGGTAAACGTAAGACTTCATTTACAAAAAGAGGACTGTGGGTTTTAAATGGAGGCACAGGGGGAAAGATTACACACTAGCAAAAACTTCTTCGGTGTTCACAGATTGTTTTGAGAGTGTCTTCATTTCTTAGTTAATTATTAGGATGGTGCAGAGAACAAAAAGCCTTACTCAATAGAAGCAGCAGGGCGACTCTCCAGCACTGGAAAAGTTGCAGATCCATAACACCTGCTGATGTAGAGACAGAACACAGAGTGGAATTTGTCCATGACCTCAGCAGCGGCACAATACTTCCTTTTGTACCCATGCAGCCGGGCTGCCACCACAGCGAGGAAAAATAACACCACCTCCAAAGATAATTTGAAATGAACATGGAAAAAATAAAACATCGATTGAAGCAACACGTCCCGTTAGTAAAAATGTGTTTTTCTTTTCTTAATTTATTTGTGAAGTAGCCAAAGATAACCAGCATGGGAGACAGAGAAGTTGGAACAAAATGAGGACGGTGCTGCTGCCAAAACAAGGAAAACAAAATGAAACCCTTTAAGCAAAGTAACAAAACACACACACACACACACACACACGGAGAGGCAACACTGATGAGCTGTGCAGGAACACAACCTGCATGCATTAACAGTAACCTGGAATTCACCTTGCTGTTTACCTTGAAGTTATCCACACTGAAATCCCCTCGAGTGGGATTCACCTACCTTCTTTCCAAAAGGCGAGACAAACACTAACAGAGCTGCTCCAGTCTGTGTTCACTTTCTCTCTCTCTCCCTCTCTCTGAGGTTAAGGTGCAGTTCACTCAGTGAGTAGATTTCTTTTATGGCCCAAAATAAAATAATATCTTCAAAGCATTTGCCATTGCATCGTAAAGAGCAACTGAGGTAACGACAGCAGCTGCAGGTCTGCAAACACTATCAAACTGGAGGAAGAGGGCTAGAATGTTTTCTTCCTCCTCTACTTCACCTCCTCTGGCCTTTTCTCCCCTCCTCCTGTGCTTGTCAGGTCTGGTCAGTGAGTCACGTAGGCGTCACCTTATTTTCAACCAGTTTCCTCCCCCCTGACTCCCCCTTTGCTTCCTGTACAGTAGAGGTTCCTCTCTGCTTTGAGAACTTTGCATTGTAATTATCAACCCCCTCCCTCCATCCTCTCTCTGCGACCTGAGTCCAAGCACATGCTCCTACATTTTTTTCTGGGGGGGGGGGATTTGTTTCTCATCGCTTTTGTAAACAAAGATAAAAATGCAATGGTTTTCTCTTGAAGGGAAACCAGTGACAATGCTGGAACTCAGCCGTATGAAACAGACTTTGTGCTGCAGGCATCTTATCCAGCACAAACACTATTTGTCTTTGGTTTGGGAAAATAAAGAGGAGGCTGTACATGAATTGTTATTGTTTTATTATTTTTCAATAGTTGTCTCCTCGCATATGCAACTCGGCGACACCTCGGAGCACGTGAAGGGGAATGCCAATGGTTTTATTCTTGTCCCCCCCCCCCCGGGGAGAGTTCACTTAAAAATTGAAGCGAAAACCCTCAGAATTCTATGCCTTCTTCATTAACAGTGAATTGGCTGCTGATGGATTGAAGTCCTACTGAAATTAAAGGTCATATTCATCCCAACCACATATAAATTAGAATTTAATCATCAGCTATCGGCAGGAACGTGGAGGAAAAACCCTCCCGTCAAACAATGTCGTGCAATACGATCGAGAGCTCGGGAACGGTGATTAAATGGACCTGGAGATCGAATGGTTCAGTCAGATACCGTCTCTCTTGCACCAGACCATAGAAACATAATGACATCACTTAGCTTTGGGCTCAGCTCTGCAGATCGTCACTTCAGGAAATGCATCCTGGGGCACAGATATAACAAGTGATTTAAAACTGATTATAAATCCATTTGTATTTGCAGAGGGGATATGAATAATCATGGGAGTAACAGCTGTGGCTCCCACTGTGTTCTGTGTCTACACAGAAGTGCTGTTTACTGGAGTTTACCAGTGGGTGGCACTAATACATCAGCAGAAACAACCAGCACTTCTCCCTCCTTTGATTCTTTCTCTCCCGATATATCAACATATGCTCCTGGTTCCATATGCAGAATAATCAGTGTCTGGTTTTGCTTCACACGAATCCATATCACTGCAGTGAATAAATTAAGCAAATAACTGAATACATTAAGATATGATAATATAATCTACATAATTGCATCAATCCCTCCATCGGATCATAGCTTCCATGTAACAGCATGTAAGGGGTGCTGATCAAAATGACCCTGAATCATGAAAGGGCAGCGATCACCAGTTTGATAAAATAAAATTATTCCTGTTCTCTGAAAAATGATATGACATCTGTCTGCATAATTAGTATCAGTGTCTCATCAATATGAATTTCATTAATCTGAAGCCTTCAGAGATAAGGAGTTTAAACCATGTACATTATGTGTATATGTAAGTGTCGATTAGCATTTCTTGAAGTTCTGTTTGTGCACTTACGTAGTCTTTATACTTTGAGGAAACTTAAACCCAATTTAAAGTAGTAGCTTCGCATACTGTATAATACAACAACATGTGTAGAGCACAATCCTCAATCAAGGCCCAACAGTCTCCGAATATGCCTGATTCCCCCCCCCACCCCCTCACCAAGATCCATGAATTATTCCAAGAATTATGCTGAAAATGTGACAACACCATGTTAAAGAAAGTGATAACAAAAGATTAAGATAAATCCTGGATCTGCCCTTTGTACGAATCCATGGCACAAATGTAATAGATTCCCTCTTGGCCCACGTCCCATCCAAGTTTCATGGAAATCAGGAGAGTAGTTTTTGCACAATCCTGCTGAGTGGCCGACCGATCGATAGGAGCACAAATACGACCCCGGTGGAGGAGGTGATCATAATCACATTTCACGCAACAGTAAATATTTCCCTCTTTAGTGGAGACCAACTACAGTTGATGGAAGCTCCTCCCACTGCTGCTGCTCAACAGAGAAATGTCTGCGGCCCCTTTAAGAGAACAGGTGTGTCCTCCACAGGTAAGAGTGCAGAAGCAGGAAGTGGCCTCATTGCTCAGTAAACATGATCCAATATGGAACTTAAAGCATGAACATGAGGGCAAAGGGAAAATACTCAGGTGAGTTTTTAACATTTCACTGCTCTTATCAGGGGAACACGTTTGTTTTTAGTCTCTGTGTGTGTGTGTGTGTGTGTGTGTGTGTGTGTCAGCACAGTAACATTTAAGTCTTGTGTTTAAAACCTCTGTTCAGATTTATCAGACTTCAGAGCAGAAGTAATTTTGTGTATTAAAGAGTTGAATCTCTGTGCAGAGCGGCCTGACTGACGACATGAGACAACCTCTGCTCCTTATCACTCTGTCACTGGCAGGTAAAACAATTTGCTCTCCCTATCTCCTCCTCTTCCTCCTCCTCCTCTTCTTCGCACGGTTCAAACAGCCCTCACAGTCTCACTGGAGTTTGCACTGTGCAGGGGAAATTAACTGAAGCTGAGGTATTCCAGCCACGTCTCTAAAAACAATTGCATTTCAAGCTTGGCGCTCCTCTTTAACTTGCTCTTAAACCTGTGTGTCTGCATTCCCCCAGCCGTCCCCCCAGTCATTCCCTCAGCCTGTGCACCGGCTGCTGAGTGACGTGACGTCCTCTCGGCCTCCCACGTCTGAACCCTCGGCCTGACTCACTGTGACTTAGTGCCATTTGGTATTTTGTTGACAGGGATGGGCGATGCTGCAGTTTTCAAATTCGACTGACAGACTGCGTGATTGTTGTTTCATGCACCAACAAAAGGTTTCCTGCCAACACAGAAACTTGGCAGTTGTTCATGAAAATATAACTAGTTATTATTGATTACAGGTGAACACGTATCACATTGTTGAACCCAACGAATACGATTCAACACTTTTTATTAACAACAATCCCATGAAAAGATCGACTTTATTCTGAATAAGACATTACTCTGATTATGTTCCTGTCTGAATTTTAAAACTGCAACCTGAAATAGTGAAATGTTTCGATGCTGCAGTGTTTTTACCCTTTTGAGTGTTTTCTTTCTAATTCTGCAAAAGCTTAAATACCTCATTATTTTTCCAATTTATTTACACTTGAACCGAGGACAGGGAGTTGAAACTTCTCAATGTAGAAAGCTCCAATTGGATGTTTTAATGCAATTAAGACATGTGGACAGGTCAGGATGCTGTTTACAGGGCAGTGTCTTATTGTCTTTGTCAGGTTAGAATGTTGGTGTCCATGGAAACTTGTTTAATGAATTGAATGTTAATTGTCAGTGTAGTCAAAGCCTGATTTTGATTATTCCTCCAATAAAAACACCAGTGAGCCTCTTATCTATTTAATCGTGCCCCTCTCTGCCGTTGTATTACACCTAACGTGTATTAATGCACAGCTGAAAATGTGATCTTGTTATATTTTCTTGAAACTAAAGAGCCCAGTTGTTTTAGGACATTACATTAAATCACATTTAAAAAATGAAATCTTTCATTTGTGAGCAGTCTTTAGAGGTTTATGACTTAAGCAGGAAATACATTGTCTTGGGCCTGAGTGCCACAAACGTAGTAGGGAAGCGTTGACAGGCTACTGCTTCTCCGGCTCTGGTCTTTTGGTGGCATTTATGGTATTTGCAGACAATAACGATATTATAGAATAATGCCGACCCTACTCTTTTACTGTGCTGTGTTTTATATTTGAAGCTCCTGTATAATGGGAGCCAGCAGCATTTACAGCACCACTGTGGCCCCAATTCTCCCACCCGGCATATTTTGATCCTGTTTATCAGAGTGTCGGATCCATGAAAAAATGAAAAGCAGCAAAGATCTACTTTTGCTATTTGTGCTGCTGCAGCAAGACGTGCAAAGAAAATAAGAACCAGGAATGTAAATGACATTTTAATTTGTTCATTATCTAAGGGTTGTTGTTCATGCATGAAAGATAATAATTAAAGTAATAATCAGCAACATTTTCATACAATTAAATATTAATTTTGTGCCTGTCTGCTGGCAATTGATATTACACAAAAGTGATTCCACCTACACTGTTTTTGGGGAAGCTGTTTTTCTGCTCTAAACGCCTGTGTGTGTTTTTTTATCTTTTGGTGGATGTGTCTCTGACAAAGATCCTTCGGTGCACAAGAAGTGATTTATTTTACATTTTTGTAGAAACAGCTGTTAGCTTAGAAGAAATGAATTATTAGAATGAGCACTAATACCCATTAGACCCACCCACACAAACCTGAAGTTCACAAAGTAAAAAAAAAAAACTTTTCCGTCTGCCAGTTAATCCACAGTTTAATAACAGTTTGTCGCTGCTGTTCAGTTTTATATTAATTATGTAGTTGTATATTACCCATTACGTTCCAGTTCTCAGTCCCAGTTCATATTTGAGTTTCCATTGAAACTGTGCTGCGTCAGTCATGGGTGTTGCTCACCTCTGACTCACGACTCTTTATCTTTGTGTCTCGGCCGAAAACGAAACAAGGTCACTGATATTTTGAGTGCCGCAACATTTTTCTTGTCTTGAACGCCTCAGCGTGGGAACCTGAACACAATCCATGTCTCTGTTGGCTCCTCTCGCTGTGCTCCTCCGAGAAAACCATGTAAAGTCAGTCCAGCACGACTGTTCAGGACCATATGGATTGATTTCAGATGCCAGAAAGGGCCTGAAAATTAAGCCTGAGTCTTAAATACCAACACAAACAAGAGAGGGGGACCAGCAGCCAACACTTAAATGCCCGCATGTGTTAAATCATTAAGTCTTTGCAGCGTTATTTTTAAATCACCCATGTACCGCTGATTCTTGGGAGCCGCAAATGTGATTTTGACACGGCTAACGTTAAGTCAAGCTAACCAAAACAAAAGAGATGTTTAGCTTGGGATCGCTAACAGTCTGAATAATCTACGGGGAAGATAAGGGTGTGTGTCTGACTGATGGGTTTTCACCCCCTGAGCCTGGTCTGTGTTTTCAATTTGTGCAGTAAAAGTAAAGAAAGTAGACTTTAATTAATATGAAACATATTAATAGCTTGAACTACTTTATATGCAGTTTGGTAGTTTAGTCCATTGTTTTCCTTTCTAAGGGTCAAATTGTCTAAAAGTTTAATTGGATGCGTAAGAAAACGATTTCTCCAAAAATTTCATTTTTAGGATTATATAAGATTTCTTTTGGTGAAATATTGAACAAAATTACCTTTTAATGTCTCAAATGATTATTAACTGAACCTGTCTGAGAGATGACAAGTAGACTCTGCTTCTGTAAAAGGGGTCAAAAGACAAAAGTGTTGGAGCTGCCTGTTCGACTGTTTAAAGACTTTAAATATGTTAAAGACGGACGACATGACAGCTTCCCAAAACTGAGGCCAAAGCTCCTTGATCGCCCCCTGGTGACTGGCTGCAGTACAGGTCAAATACCCTCCTCCATGTTAGTCAAGAGGACATTGACCTAACTCAAATGTCAAATACTTTTTACTCAAAGAGCGTTTTTTCAAAAAAAGATTTTGCTCAGAGCTTTTAATTTGTTATTTGACGCTTTAAAAACAGGGCGAAAGGTCACGACAGTATTTTATATTTGTTAAGTATATTATTGTTCATCCGCTTCTGAGTCGAAGTATAAAGTACCATAGAATGCAATTTGTGCTTTTGCGGAAAAAAATCTCCCCTGATTCTTTTTCTTTTCTTTTTCTAGTCCTCCTCTCTGCTGATGTTCTGGCTCAGGGCCCGGTGCAGATCCAGTTCCAGACAGACCCGGTGCTGGTTCAGACCGGCACTGAGATAGTGTTCACTTTGCTGACGGTGCCTCAGGTCCTGTCCATCACATGGGAGTACCAAGGAGGTCTGGCTCTGGGTCTGTGGGCCGGAGGAGCTGCTGTGGTTAATCCGGTGGCCCAGTTCCAGGGCAGGGTCACCATCACTGCCACCCAGCTGAGGATCGGAGGAGCCCAGCTCCGAGATGCGGGGAACTACACGGTGATCGTGATCCCCTCTGCTACCACAGGCCTGGATCAGAACTCCAGATCCATACAGCTGAGGGTATTTGGTAAGGGATTTTAAAAAAAAAAGAAGAAAGTGTGAGTTCTCCTAAGAGAGAAAAGGAGGACGAGGGGAGGCGGAGTGTGCAGGAGAGGGAGGTTTTGAGGGAAGCGATAATGTTCAGGAGGAGCAGATGGGAGGAAAGAGAAGAGAAGGAGGATTTGGGGAGTAAGAGAATTAGTCTGGGAGGTGTAATGAAATAAGTGACCCGTAGTACACCAGGTAATATGATGAAAAAGAGGGAGGGGATGTAGCTCGTGGATCAGAGCCTCATGCTAATCCAAACTCATTTGACATGCAGCGCTCATGCTCTTAGATGCTTGATATTGTCGAACCATAAATGTAGCGTCACATTTACATCCAGTACACAGGGTGTTTGCATTCATTTATATTCAGCGCTGTAATGGAGCCTGAACAGCCGAGTGTCTGTCTTTATTTTCAGTCATCCACCCACACTGGAAGGATGCTGCACGCTCCCTCTCACCCCTGTTGGCACCAGCAAAGCAGGGGCCCCTCACAAACAGCTGGCTCATGCCATGGAACAGCCGAGTCCTTGAGCACAGCTCCCTGCCTCCCACTTACTCATCGCAACTTACGGCAGCTAAAAATCCCTGAAATATAAAAACGCTCCTGCTGAGTCACAGCCAAGTGGAGAGTCTGCATAGGAGCAAGAGCTATTAGAGCTGTTTAGCAGTTGCTCGAGTGTGTTTGTTTGCAGCGGCTCTCTTCGTCACAGCCTCCGTCCTTACGCCCCCTCCTCTCCCTCTCCAATTATTTAACTCAGGCCACCAAGAGGCTTCTCTCTACTACTCCCACCGTCTGCCCCTTTACTCACCATCTGTGCTTCTGCATGGATCTTGTCCCCTCTTCGCTCCCATTTGCTTTGATTACAACAAATTATCCTCGACAGAAACATAACGCTGCCCTCCATTGTTGTGTCACTCAAACTTCTGAAGTGTGACCTCTCCTGCGCTCACGTTCCACACCGACAGTGAAAACACCTTTTTTACGGGTAATTCTGCTTTTGTCCCCCCACAGACGCAGTGGCCGGGGTGAGTCTGTTCGTTCCCTCGGTGGCGGTGGAGGGGAAAAATGTGTCCCTGAGGTGTACGTGGACCGCCGGGACTGATGTCACAGTGCAGTGGGGCAAAGGAGGCGCAGCCATCACTGGCGACTCCAGGATCACTATCACAGACGGCTCTCTGGTCATCAACCCGGCCAGACGGGGAGATGCCGGGGAGTACACGTGTACCGTCAGCAACCCTGTCAGCGCCCAAACTGCCAAGCAGAGCCTCACTGTCTACTGTGAGTTTACACTGATCAAGATAAATGGCAGCTAATCTGCTGGAGCCACTCTCTGCTTATCCATGCTGCAGTGCACCGACTGTGCTGCTGTACACTCGGATTTCTCCTTAAACTCATTTTGCCGCGTCTGTCTTGATCACATCATTAATTCCAGCAGTAATATTCCATCCTACAAAGACAACCCTTAATATCCCTGTTCTCGATCCAACATCTAACACATCAGATGGTGATCGCAGATCAAATCCACTGCGTATTCGTGCCAAAACATTTGCACCTAAGCCAGCGTAAGTTAAGTCACTGCTACCTGTGTCAGTGGTATTTAATCACAGATGGAATCTGAGGAATCATTTCACAGAGGCTGTTTCATTCCAGCATTCTGAAAAAAAGTCATAAAGCTAAAGATTATTTTCATTATTGATTCATATCTGGATACTTCCAGTCCACGAATTATCAGGCAGCAGTAAAAATGCCCCACAAACCTTCTCCGAAGCTAAATTGCATGTTTAGTCTGATCAATGGTCCAACACCCACAGACATTTAATTTGAAATGATACTAATAAGGAAACACACTCTTCACATCCCAGAAGCTGGAACAAGCAATATTTTTAAAATGTTTTTGCTTGATAAATAATTTATTATAACAATTAGTTAAATGGAAAATAACTAAATACTAAAAAGATTTTTTTTATTGGCAGATACAGCTTGACATTTTTAGAGATACACTTACTTGGTCTTTTCATTATTTTAATATGGAGCTGGAGTTAGCTGCTAATGAGCTTAGCCTATCATAAAGCATCTGTAAAGCTGAGAAATGAATTTCATATTTCATATTTCTTTATTCCTTCTAAAAATGTAAAATGTAAAAATAAATAAATGTAAAATAAAGTTGTTTTCTGAGGGATAATTTTTAAGGTTGCCAGGCAACCAGTGCAGACTCAACGTACTGTAGCCTTCGAATTAGCATTTATTCAGAATATTAGACTATACTTTTTTTAGTTAGTAAATGGTTGCATTTTTTCTATACTATATAAAGCTTAAAACAGACGTAATGTTTTATACTTAAGAGTTGTATTTAAGGAAACCTTATGCAAGTCTTACTGAGCAACAGCGCCCTCTGCAGCCACACACACACTGTGATTCATTCTGTTGGGCTCCGTGTCCGAGCGATTAGTTTTCATTTCGAGAAAACAAAAAACAAAGTCTATCAATCTCTCGACCTGCGTGACCCCACTCACTGAACTGAAACACGACCGAACAATAATTATTACCCATGATCCCCATCAACTGCGGCTTTAACAAATCCACCAAACTCTGTTAAGAATTCTTCATATTTTAAAAGTTTCCTGCTGAACATTGGAGATAAACTCTGTTTTTTTTTAATGACTTCAGTTCCACACGTCTCACAGGAGATCGTACCCACTCACCAAAGTTACACAGAACAAGAAGAGACGTTCAGGGTGAGGAGTGAGAATGAAAGAAGCAGCATTCTACATATTCTAAATCACTGAACCATCAAACTCATTTTGAAGCTGCTATTTCAGGGTAAAAAAAGTAGCTTTAATTCTGCTCTAACACAAACTTACTTACAGTTTTACCTCGATTTGCTGTTTTCGCTGCTTTTTTCTGCACATTTTTTTCGTTTCTGATGCTAACGACGACGTCCTCTGTGATCCTCGCTGAACCAGATGGCCCTGACACCCCAGTGCTGACCAAGGACGCCCCTAAAGAGTGTGTCGGGGGAGGGGACGTGTTGGTGGGACAGACAGTGCGTCTCACCTGTACGTCAGACTCACTGCCCCCTGCCGTCTTCTCGTGGCAACGTGACGGACAGAGCATCGCATCGGGCCAACCGGACAGCGGGTTACTCAGTGTTCAGACTTTCTCAACCAATGAGAGCGGCTTCTACGTCTGCACGGCCAGAAACGCCATCACCACCGGCACCTCTGAGAAGGGGACAGAATTGGCAGTCGTAGGTGAGTTATGGTGGACGCTGACCTCTCTGTGACTGATAATGATGGTGGTTGGTTTGGACTGCGTCCCTGTATCTGTCCTCGCGACAGGAGAGGGACAGGAAGTGTCCTGGGAGATTGATCTGCTGGGAATCTGGTCAAAGTCATCCAGTGACTTTTACAAACACACTTTCTCCTCTCTTTTTATTTTCACTTCTTCCGCCAACCGTCTCTCAGCTGTGCTTCATCGACCTTTCTTTAGAGTCTTTTTTTATTTCTGCTCTTGTCTCAGCTCCAGACTCATTATCTTTATTAATTCTCTCCCTTTGACATTCTTTCTATTTCAGAAACATGTCTAGATGGAGGGGAAGTGGCGGGAATTGTGATTGGATGTTTTCTGCTGCTACTGATCATCGTGCTCCTCATCGTGCTCATCGTTTGTCTCACGCAGAGGAAGAGGGGTAAGTGTGTTAGTGCGATCGTGGACGGCTTGTTTGTCCATTTTTCATTTCATTGTATAATATGTTGAGTGAAACACTTTGTAAAAGGCTTGTTTAAAGATTTCTACGTCCTGTAATAGCTGTAATAGATCTGTATAATGGCTCAAGTAGGGTTTATTTTGCACTGAAATATTATGTTGCTGTCTACAGATCAGTTGAGACAAAGGGATACGGTGTTTGTGCAGGAGAACAACTCAAATCCCAGGCCGATGGTGAGCCACTATAACAGTTTACATATTTTTCATATATTGATTTTGTGTGATGTGATGGTGCTGAATGTTTTTTCACAAATTAATTCCTTTATTCCATCTTTCTGTCTCTTTTCACTCTTCCCTCATTTTTCATTGTCTCTCATTAAGCCTCCAGAACCACAACCTAACGGTGCAAGGGAATTGGGGCAAGGTCCCCCCCTCCATTACACTAACACGCTCACACGCCACCCTGGACGCTCGTACACAGCCCTGCGGGAAACCCGTGGCAACCTACAGACAGTGCCGCTGAACAGCCTGCGTAACTCTGACACACACCGACACAATGGTCATACCCACACAAATGGACTGCTTCACAATGCCATTCAGAACACCAATTCATACCCACACAATGGCATTGACAACCCAGCTTTCACGCACATTGATGCTCAGAATGCAAACACGCTCCCAAACACACAGCAACAAAACTCTAATATTCTCATACAGGCGGGCACTTCCCAGGGGGGCAACCAGCCGCCGGCTGTTCAGGTCAGCCTCAACACGCTGCCACAAACCGCCCAGCACAACAACAGCGCACAAATGCCCACAATTCACGTCAATCTTAACTCGTACCCCAACAACGGCCAACGGCCACCGCAAGACGCCTCATTTCCTATTTCCAACACTGCTTATAATAACACTTCACAAACACAACAAAACCTGTCACATACAGGGCAATCAAATCCCAGAATGCAAAGCGGGCAATCTTATCCTGGTGACCCCCGACTGAATGGTCACATAGACGATTCAGGTCATCAAGCTCACAGAGGACTCATACCGACCGGGTACACACATTTTAACAATGATAATATTTCCCGGCAAAATGCCAACACACAGACGTACGAACAGGAAGCACCACGTCGTGGTCGATCTGATAGAAACCCAGAAAGACACGATGACACTCCCAGCTCCTCTCACCGACAGATGCCATGGGATCGCCAGCGAGGGACGCCATCATATCCCAGCAGTAGTCTTCAAAGAAGACAGTTACCCTCTGATTACACCTCTGACAGCACAGACTACACCAGCCAACCTCCCAGACGAGAGGCGAGAACACAAAACAGATCTCGTCCTCAACCTCAGAGCCACAGCACTTTGCGGAGCAGAGGTCCAACCAGTCAAGAGCCTCCAGCCGAGGACAGACGGACGCGGAGTCGTTCAGCTGATCTTCAAAACGTTAACAGTGTAGCAGAGTTTGTAGCCGTACGTCTCCCACAGAGAAGCCCCCGCACACAAAGGGGGAGCGATCAGCGAGAAACCAGAGGTTCGCTTGGTAGCCAGATGGCCCCCAGGCAGGAAGTCACACACAGCAGTAGCCCCCAGGCGCTGCCTTACATGAGCCAGCAGGCCTCTGTAGGACACTCTGCCATGTCACAGGGACACACAACACAGCCGGGACTGACTGCACCACAGAGTGCAGATACAAGAGCTTTGGCTGATCCTAATCACCTTCCCCAGGCGCACATGTCCCAGCAACAGAGAGCAGCGCCGATCCAAAACTCACCACAAGGCCTGGGCATGCAGCCTGTCACACATGGTGCCAGTCACCCTCGCCAAGGAGGCACCGCTCCAGTCCCACACCCTACTGCCCAGCCTCATCCCAGCAACCTAACCCAGGCTGCACTCACAGCCCACACTGCGAGGGCTCAGACGTTTCAAAATCGGAAACAACAGACCCAGGCCGCCCTGCTTCACCCCGGACCACAGACTCGAGCTCCTGCTGCTGGGGCTCATCAAGCACCGCCGCCTCCTCCTGTGATGCCCCTCGAACAGTTCCGTACGCTCCCCAAAGAGCGCACTCGGCACAAATCCCCCATCAGAGGTCCTCAGCCCCCCAGACCTCCTGTCAACATACCAGTGACTCAACGGCATGTGGAAGCACAAAAGCGGCTGGACGTGCAGCGCCACGCTGCCGCCAACCACCATCACCGGCCTGGAAACGGCCACGTGCATGTTAGTGCAAACAGGCATGCCCATCCTCATGCCCATACCCGGGGCCACGGGCACCATGCCCACCCCACCAGCCCACGACAGGTGAGTGAGAGTTTGAGTCTGCAGCCAACAGACACCATATGTTTATTGAAATCAGATTTCTCTCTCAGATTCATGAAAGTCATATCGGGCTCTTCCTCCTGTGTTTTAGATCGTCTCTTACCTGCACCACCTCCTCAACAGTCTGTACTTTTGTCAGCAGTATGCATTGCTTTGAGGATGATAGGCGGCACCTTTAACTGGATGTTGCAGCATTATGACTGACAGTCTTCTCTCTGCCACAGAAATGCACTTAGTCTCAAACGTTTGCGACACAGTGGCAGTTTTTAAAAGTAACTTTCGTTGTCAGAGGTTTTGCTTCTTCTGCATGACATGTTGCCAATGACGGGCTTGTTGTTGTGTTTTTCCAGCAACAGGCTCATAGAGGGAGACCCAGATGATGACAGATGTCGGCAGACTGCACTCGACAACGCTTCCACAGCCGGTGACACAAACAGCTGACAGACAAGATCCAATATACCACCAAGCAAGAGAGACTCAAAAAAAGCTGTCATGGTCTGGTATCTCAGCACTGAAGCCGTTTTCTTTCTAAAAGAAATGAATCTGTCTCCAATGGGGATGATGAAACGTAACCTTTTTTTTTATTCCTTAAAAAGAAATGACGAGATCTGATCTGCCTTTTAAATAGTTTGACTAAATTAAATAAATTAAATGATTCTGAAGGACTTTCATTTAAAATATTCCCCCATCAACTACCCCAGTACGTGTGTGTGTTGACACACGCGTGTTGTACTGTGTTCATATCTGAATCTCTGGTCAGGCATCAAACTTTGGCAACAGCCTGCTCGGAGAAGACAGGTCCAGTGATCCATAGCTCCTGACCGAGCTCACATCCACTCATCCATTCATCATCCAAACTAAACATCACCTCAACGAAATGCACTCGAGGTGCTGTTTCTGTCAGACAGGGGTATCGAACAGTGGCAGTAAAAGAGAATGGGACTTTGCACAAACCCTGGGAACAGCCACAGTTCTATGAAAAATAGAAATTAGCCAGCGGTGTGGTCCTCATCTACACAGAACTATTTATTTATGCGCCTTCTGTTTACAGATGCCTCGTACTTCACTTCTCAATTAAGAGGATTCGCCCCAGTGGCTCTCGGAAGTAATGCTCAGCTGACTATGAAGGGGATCCCACGAATGGATGGAGCTTATTAATTAAATGCTTTTATGTGACTTAAATGACTTGGAAAATAATCACACCCTGTGCATGAATGAGGGGAACACAAAGACCTGGGCTGCCACGCTTTCCGCTGAAAAAACACAGTCTTGCAATGCACTGTCTGCACTGGGTCAGGAGCGGCACATCAACGTGATGGGATGTCATTATTACTAAGTATTTACTGATTTATCATGTTTGATATTTTAAACTCAGGGTTGTGCGTGTGGACATTTGTTATTAAGGCCACACTAATGGATGACAATGCTTTTATGTGTCAGTAAGTGCCACCAAATTACTTTCCAAGGATCAGGCTGAGTATATTCAATGTTTTTAAGTAACAAGACTATAACCAATCGAGTCACGTCTGTGTATATATGTGGTTTGTTTCGTCCAAAAATAAAAAATGGCATATTAATCAGCCCCAATGTTTTACTGGGTGATGCTGAGGAAATTACAAGTACTAGTGCTTGCCCTTTAGCTGCCAGTTTGGAATGGGCTGTTGATGCTGCGGAGCTACTCCAGACGTATTCCTTATCCTTAGTGAGTCCTCCTCAAACAGTTCTACAATATACTGTCAGTTTTTTATTGTGTGTGTGCTGGATGTTCTGTGCACAGCTTTTTATAAACGGTCTATAGTGCAGAGTGAAGTTAGAAAACTTTGTGTCCATCCTACCTGGTTTATCTGAAGATTTTAAAGTATTTTATTATTGTTACACTTTTATTGATATTGAACGGATCACGTGTCAGAAATCAGCAGTGCACTTTCTCTGGTAATTTACAATACACATGCAAAGTCTGAAGCCGATGTTTGTGGTGTTAGAAATGTTCATCCCCTGGTGAAGATAACTACAGGTACTGCTTAATGCCGGGTGGGTTACATTTGTTATGTGTGTATGGTTGTTCCAGGAAATTATTATTTAGCCTTTCTTGAAAACACAACTATATGTTTGTTGCAGGTGTCCAAGACTTTGGCAGCAACAACTTGGGGCTTAGAGCCTGCAAGTTGAATTTATTAAGAGACAATCCATAGAAAAACACTTCTCATATCTTAGCCTTAACCTTTAATATCAAAATACAAACTGTGAACTTGAAGGAACACAGAACACATCTGGTCGCTCCAGCCAAACATCTGGAGCATGAGATTTACTGCACTGCCCTGGAAATTTGTGCCGTTTTTTTGTAAAATTATTGCTTGTGATTAATTGAGGTTGATGTTGAGTTCCAATGTGAGACACTACAAGGGAAATATTTATGTTTGCTTCTCAGGGAAGATATTTGTACATTGTTTGGGCTTCGTGAAATGCTCCTTGATCTTATTTGATCAACATTAATAAAGAATTACTGTTGAACCGAACAATGACACACTGGTTCGTTATTTCTACTTGTCTTGTTTACTCGCAGCAGAATGAACAATCAGGACTTTTGTTTCACCTATTCTTTCAAAAATAAACACCTATTCTAAAACCTGAGGATCTTCTGATTTTCGGCACAAAAACAATCCGACACACACACGCTGACAGTAAGTCAAACCACAGAAGCACCTATTTATTCTGCCGTTCCCCTGAATCACAATGCTGTTTGCAGTCGTCGCATATTTCTGCTCTCTGTGTCTATAGTGCTAATTATGCATGGAGCCTGTGTACACCGAGCGCTGTTGTTGATTCTCCTCAGATAAATCTGTTCCTTCGCCTTGTTGTGGAGGTGCAGAGCGTGTGTTTGGATCACAGCTCCATCAGTCTCCCAATCCCCCGCTCCCACTTGTACGTCACCTCTGATGAACAGTCCTGCTGCTCACTATCGGAGACACTTCACGGTAGTCTAGCACTGTAATGAGTGGAGATGGAGTGCATTTGAGTACCTGCACTAGAGAAGGTTGCGGCATTGCCTACCGGTTCCAGGTGAAAGCTGTGATTTATGAAAAGTTTGCAGCGTGCACTAAACTTTGTCTTTGCAATGAAGTGGATTGTTTACCGGCTCTCTTCAGTCTTAAAACACACAACACAGTGGAACCCCAAACGCTGATGTGGCCATCTTCCCTGGGCCAATTTGCATGTAAATCTGCTGCTGTTGTTTTAGTATTGTGATTTATCGGGATTTACTCTGACTGCTCCGAGTAATTTTAATTGTTTACGCCTCCCTTTGGAGGCATAAATTAAAGGCAAACATAATACAAGTGCGGTGTGTGCAAATGTGGCATTTTTCGTACTGATGAATGCTCATTTTGTGAGTGATTCAACTGCAACAGTGAGCTCTTATGACTCAAACGTGGAGGAGGCTGCAGCAGATTTGCACTGAGAAACTCAATACCATAAAATGTCCAGTGTAATCCTAATCTAATTTTAATTCTAATTCAGTCTAGTTCAGCACATGTTTATAGTTTGAAGGCATTTTATTGTTTGACGTAACAGTGGAGGTGTCATAAGTCCCAGACAGAAATGATCCAATCTAGAATGATGTATATATATATATAGTGCACTCCTCCACTGAGGCCCAACAGTCTCCTTTTGAAACTATGATGATTTCACTAGATCCAGATTTTTATTTGGATCTGCACCAAATTGCACAAATGTATGAATATCAGTACCTGGGAAGGATTTTCTGAGAAATCAATGAAAATGTTGAAAATGCCAAAAAACCCTGGATCCGCCCTGTGATCCGTATTTGCAATTTTTTTTTTTACAGCTTTGGGTCAGTCCGCACCCCTCCAAAACAGATGATATGGCGCTTCTGGTCTTTTTGTGGCCCAGACAAAACAATGTAAGCCCAAAGTTTCTCATCTGTAAAATATAGCAAGTGTGGTTCAAATATCCCAAAACACCTTTTCTTTGGCAAACGTGGTGCTCTGGGCAATTGGTTTAATCTGAATGTGCACCTAAAGTGGCTCAGGATGTAAATGGTAGTGGCCCAAATATCACTATGACTTTGACAGTGTCGTTTAAATTTTACCATGTTAAGTAGTTTTTTCCTAACACTGGTTAATATTAAACAAACCCAGACGAGAACGTAACCTCCTATGCAGAGTTACGTATCTCTGGGTGAATAAAAAGATCATGTGGCTGCCTCTCTGGTCATATTCGCTCACAGCAGTGATGCCACATTTCCTCCACCACTGGGAAAAAGAAAGAGGTCAGACATGGTCGTCCTCGTCAGGATCATCACTTAACGTCCTCTGAGATCCAAGTGGGCATCCCCGGCAAAGTGTCCTTGAGCAACACACCGAACCGCTGACCCCCTTTAGTGAATGGCACATCGAATATCAAGGGATATGAAATGAAACAAATTTATGATTAAACTTTATCCACCAGGGCAGTCCAACAAAAAAAAAGGAAAAAGACCATTTTACTGTGACGGCACGACCCTGAATTTACAACGTCAGTCTGCCACACACATCCATCCAGTCAGAATGTCCTTGAACAGGACGGTGAATCCCCAACAGTTCACTCACTGTAAATCGCTGGAGATGGGAGCAGCTAAAATGTAAATCATGAGCTGAGAGCTGCACCAGCAGCCGGGGACTCCTCCTCATCCCACTAGGGGGAGCCATGTGAGAGGATTTTTGAGGTTATCTATTGATCATTTTCCAGCATTTGTCATCCGTGCATGGTGCAAAAGTTAAAACAAAAGCCACAGGCAAAGTTTTTCTTGTCCAGCACTGAAAAGAAAACAAGATGCATAAACTAAAATCCTGTTTACAACAACAAGGAAACCCTCGGTTGTCACAGGCCTGTGTTTGGATGTTTAAAGGTGAACTGTCGCCTTCAGGGAAACATATCGAGCACAGTGACTTCAAAGAGCTTCTTGTGTTTTATCGTAATCTTTTTGTTGATTCAATTCAGCGGAACATGTTGTGTGTCACCATGCTTTAGTCAGACTCTTGCTGATATTCCCATGTTAAAAGAAATCAGAGTCCTTTCATAACATCTGCAGGCAAATGTGTCAGTAATAATGTGCTGAGCCGTCACGTACACCTGTTTTCTCGAGAAGGAGAAGTTTTTTAGGTTTGCGGGAAATTACATCATAGCTGCTGAGCATAGATGACTAAATAAAACTTGACCCTTCCCTCAGTGGTAATAAACTTCGCATCAGTCTTTATCTCTTCTCACCATCTGAGTGTTTTTGAGGGAAACAGAAGTTTGAGCGGAAAATATGACGACAGTTCACACATATGTTTTTTTAAGATGATCAAAAAAAGAGCAGATACTAGGAAATGCAGAGCAAATTGTTTTTTGCAGCCACACATGGTTTAATTACAACAACTCTGTGCAGAACTGAGCAGATTCAGTCACTAAAACAGTGAGCTGCACGAACAGGAAGGAAGAAAGAAATGTAACTCTCAATGCTGTTTGGTTCACTTTCTAGGTACTTTAGTTCTTTCTACTCACTTTCTTGTGAAAAGAACAACTCAGATGATTAACGCACACTATATTACTGGTAATGTGTATACACAGTGTTGATTTCTCAGGGGGAAAACTAAATGGGTGGTACAGCTCTAACTTCTGTCATGGCCACAGGATGGATGGATGGATGGATGACTTTATTCATCCCCGGATAAATTCATTTGTGACAGAAGTACAGTGATGCAAACTGGAAAGTTAAAATTACAACTCTGTTAAAAATAGCAGCTCTGAAACTTTCTAACGCCCTTTAATAAAAAGGAGAAGGTGTCACTCTGTGCGTCTGTGCACGTAGCTCTAGTGACATTTACTGGGAAAGGCAAAGTGTGAAACTGTCGTGTAACAGTAGCACAAGTAGAGAATAGCGCTAAAGTTAGTGCACAGATTCAGTGATGCCAGTTACACACTGTTATCTCTCCTGATAGACCAAGAGCGGCTGCGTCAGCAACACGGCTGAATGTGTTGACTGGAACGAGAGGCCGTTAAATTGCTGTCGGATTCAACTTTTCAGGTCATGGTGGAAGAACAGGAAATTCCTGTGTTCATGCTCAGCTGCAGTGTGTTGTGTGTTTGTGCTCGATACACTGAAAAAAGACAACGCAACAACAAATCGCACGACACATCTGTACAATCAGTGATGGCGAACCTCGGCTATGGAAGGTACACACGTTTTCCATTGGAAGTTGATGCCGGAGTGTTTTTGTGATTTGCACCTTAAGGCCACCGCAACATGAGCGACATTACAGCTCCTCAAAGGTGAAGCCGAAGCATCTCGATCGCCCCCTGGTGGCTGGCTGCAATACAGGTCATAAACCCTGCCTCCTCCATGTTAGTGGATGGGATATGGACCAAACCCAACTACTACATTAAGTAGTTTTGAATACACTGATGTTTGTTGATGAGTTATTTCGATGTTCGATGTTGGTGACACGTTATGATTTATGGCTGAGACTGACTCGCGATTGGTCGTGTGTGTGTATCCATGGGACCTCGCTACTGCGGCTCCACCCCCCAAGCGCTACTGCGTGGACTCTGGGTCCAAATGTACAAAATGGCAGCGTGTTTTTTTTTTTTATTTCCGGAAAGTGGCAGTAAGAGACACGTCGTCGTCCATCTTTATTAAAAGATTTTTGGCAGAGACATCCATGAGATTTGCTTGTGAAAGATTGATGACAAATACACAGTGTGTGTACTGAAGGAGGGAGTTGAACTGTTGAACTATTGTGTAACTGCACAGCTGTGATCCTCCACCTCACGAGCTGCGGACGCTATAAACTGTACTGCCCACGTTAAGTTATTACCACTGTTACTTGATGACCCCCTCCTGACCTACAGTATATGTTCTCTGCAGTTTCCACCACACGTGTCATCATCTGGTCAAACCACAGCTCGATGTCCCTGTTAAGAAATGTGCGGCCCCAGTGTGTGTTCTTTTGAAATGCACGTGTTGTCCTACTTCTTTAGGCCGAGCGGCTCAGCCTGACAACTTTTGAATTCTAAATGTCTCTTTAACACCCACCGTGGGACCGGAGAGTTGTTTTGATTGACAGACCGGTCCACTGTAATAAATCAAACACGTTATAGCAGCTGAGGACACGTTTCTTACTGCAGTTTTAGGTCAAGTCAGACTCGTTGAAATTGGTCTAAAAACTTAAAAACAACTTATAAAAATAATAATGAAAGCTTAAAGGTGAAACTCTACTTTAGCCTCTGTATTTATCATCTATATCGGACAAATCCCAAATGTGACTGAGGTCCTAAAGTATCTTTAGTCTTCATTATAGTCTGATATCAGCCTTTCACAGACATATCTGCATTTATGCTTGTATCATATTAATATTTATTAATTTCAAGAATACACAACACTTTTATTTTCTTAATTCTACATATTTGGTTGTATTTGTGTTTTGTTTTCATATTAAGGTTTATAATAAAGTCAGTGGTTCAACTGTAAAA